TGTGAAGATATGTATGGCTGATTGACGGTAGAGACGTTACCAACAAGATTGGGTAGCGGGGTCAACCAAAGTGAATCTCTTTCCTGAGATACTGATCCATGACAGGGCCCAGGGAGGGTCCCCACAGAAACGAACATACAAAAGCAGGTGAAAAAGGAATGTTTGTTTGTTGTTCAACGCCGCATTCAGCAATATTCCAGCAAATTGACAGCGGTCTGTAAATAATCGAATCTGGACCAGACAACCCAGTGATAGACATCATGAGCATTGATCTACGCACTTAGGATACGATGACCTACATCGACCAAGTCAGCGAGCCTGACCACCCGATCCCGTTAGTCGCATCTAACGACAAGCATGGGTTGCTGAAAACCACTTCTAACCCGAATCTTCACGGAACAAACGTGATGAATCCAACTGGTGGTACGACTAGTCACAGCTGTAACCCGGAGATGCTCACCCATAACTATCCATGAGAGGGGTATTTTTTATTAAATGAGTTGATAAATGGCCAGATTCTGTATACATTTTTTCAGAAATTAATATAAATATTTGTAAACTCAAACATATGTTATGTGTTCAATAGGAGAAAGCATCTTTTACAGACGTGATTGACCGCAATGTGACTTTTTCGCCGTCAATATTTCCTGTTTGAACGGTTATGTACATGTAGCTTGCATGTATGTACGCATCATTTATGTAACTATTGTTTGTCCGTCTAAAATAAGCCATGGTATATCTGGTCTACACAACGAATTCGGGGTATTGGCTGACGTGATTCGGTTGAAAGTAGTTTACCGTTACTTCACGTTTCATTCAAATAATTGTCGGCAAAGTTTATAATTTCAAAGCCGTCGACTCCGAGTGACCTTTCTGCGCATCGAATGCTGAATATATCACTCAAAAACACGCGTTTCATCTCCTTATTCATTCAAGCCTTCAAATACCACACAGCCCTTCAAATACCAATAAACCCTTTAAATACCACTCAACCCGTCAAATAACACTCAACCCGTCAAATAACACACAAACTTTCAAATATCACTAAATCCACCAAATACCTCTCAACCCTTCAAATGCCACTCAACCCTTCAAATGCCACTCAACCCTTCAAATACCACTCAACCCTTCAAATACCTCTCAACCCTTCAAATGCCACTCAACCCTTCAAATACCACTCAACCTTTCAAATACTACTCAACCCTTCAAGAACCACTATATTATAAAGCCTACAAACAACACTCAACCCTTCTAATACCACTAAACCCTTCAAACACCACTAAACCCTCCAAATACCACTCAGCCCTTCAAACACCACTAAACCCTCCAAATACCACTAAACCCTTCAAATACCACTCAGCCCTTCAAATATCACTCAACCCTCCAAATACCACTCAAATTCCCCGCAAACCTTCAAATACCATTCAACCTTCCAAATCCACTCAACCCTTCAAATACCACTATAAACCCCTCAAATACCGCTCAACCCAAAAGTTAAATTCGTGCGGAAGCATACAGAGCGATAGATGATTGAATTTACGAGCAATGGTGATCATAAACAACCCCTTGTCAAAACAAAAGAAATAAGCTGCTGTGCACAGTCTGTGGTCTATGATAACCATCTCCCCGACCGTGCTGGTATGACAAAATCCCGCCCCCGCACGGGCGAGACGTGTGAGAACCTTCTTTCAGACAATGGCCATATGCTCAAATGTTACAAATTTATCGAATGTCCTTGTTCACTACGAGGCTAAGCGATGCCCCATGAGGCATCAATATTTACAAATGTGTTTTCTATACCCAGCTTATGAAAAACACACCGCGTTGAAAAACCAATATGTGCGGCTTTATCAGCCTGTGTTTAAGAAACAGAGAAAGAAAAAAGGCTGCAGTGTTTGTGGTGTGAACAACGATAGCCTTTCGATACCTTAGACGCTCATATTACGCTCTTCTGTTTCAACTCTAGAATCTGTTCCTAAATACAAAGAAAACCCCTCCTTGCTTTTTTTCTGTTATGAGGAATGCGCTAAAATCAGGCTCAAAGACAAAAGATCTTTCTCCCCCTGGCCACACCGACGTACACAGTAAATATTTGAAGGCCATTTCTAAGATCATCTCCGGAAAATGTGTCAATAGACGCGAGACGGTATAAATGAACACATTCTTTTATGGCAGAAAAAAATAGCCGTAGGAAAACTTAGACTGACAACGGATAACAGCTATTGCGTCCATCACATACCAGTCATCTATTTTAGGGGCATCCTTTATCTCAGTGATATGCACAAGGGTAAATTGTGCGCGCATGATTTACAACGAGTGGGCTGGCTGGTTGTATTTCCATGTATCTATTATAAGTAATAAAAAACAGAAGCCACAGAATACGTTGCAATTACGTCAATTATATGTGAATAAACAGTGTAGGTTGCTGAAAACATAAATTATCTCCTTGATTAAGCAAGGTCAGTCGGTCCAGCATATCAACTACAATTTAGTCTAAAGGGACGTTTTCCTATTCCAGAAGGTATAATCATAGCCGGCTGAGACTGATGTACACTTGGTGTTTGTCGGTCGGTGGATAGATACATCTTTGTGTAGCTCCCAGCAACACGGACGGGGTAATTACTGGGTGCCCTGTCATTTACTCCGTGTCGGTCCTGGGATGGCTAATATCCCTGTAATCAGTCGTGACGATACTAGCATGCACTGTCAGCGCCCCCTAGCGGGACTTTCAATCATTCCCAGAAGAGAGGATTTCGGGTTGAGGAAACTGTATCTATTAAACGTGGATTTTTATACTATTTGAATCATGGAAATCGGGATTGAGCAAGCACCGAGTAACAACAGGACCAATTGTTCGCATGCATCCAGGAGGTGGAAGTCAATAGCGTTTGTGATTATACCATTCTTTATATTGACCTCAGTTGTTTATTTTTTTAATAAATCGGCATCGTATTTTACGAAGAATGTAAATGGCAGAAAGGAAAATGGTTCATATTCAACACGCGCGTTCACGAAAAAAATTATGTAGTACGTCACAGTTTTTTTAGGTGAGGGGGAGTGAAGATGGTTTTACGCCGCATTTGGTAATCCAGCAATATCGGGGCGGGGCTGCAATAATTGGTTTCACACAATCAACCCATAGGAATCGAACCCGCGCTTTCTGCGTGACGAGCAACGGTTTAACCATTAGGCCACCCCTCCACCCTTCGTTACAATAATATATCGGACTAAATTATAATGTGGATAATAGTAGCTTGTGCTATCAATAATACATGGCGTGTTCAAATTAGCATCTTAACGAAAATTCCGTTTTTTTTACTGGGGCACAGTATCAGATCGACAGGCGTCTTGTTGAAATGTTTTCATTAATAACATATACATCTTCTCACAGTCGGTAGCTATACAAATGGGCATCAAGTGCAAGCCGAATTATACCGTTTCCCTTTCAAAAATTCCTACCATGTAATGTTAGCGCTAATTATCTGGCGAAAGCTCCATAACAGGGTCCAGTGGCATTACCCATCTGTTACCCTTAGTCCATTACCCTGTGAGGTAAAGTTACACCATCCCTAGGTGCAATCAGAGGATTCGCTAACACATCTGGACTGTACCGTTACAATGAGTTTTCCTCATCAGAACGGGTTCATGGGTTACAAGATTTCACCACCTGTCTAATCTAGAACGTGATAAATGGCATTCGCAAGACCCTATCAAACTAGCCGACTTTGGGAAACGAGACTTACTGTATTTTCCTCTCAAAGTTTTACCAAGCGAAAATAGTTCCCGTGCGTTAAGAAGCTTTCATTGTTTTACAGTTATGTGGATGGTTCTGCACTGACTAAATGTGGATGAAGATAACTGTATCCACAGAAACCATTCAGATTGGATTCTGGATTCTGTTTATTCTCAAATACACTTACCATCGGCGGTACATGAGCACACACTACAACACTTTACGTATACATACATCACATAAAAGCTGGCTTACACATACCTAATACCATATAATATATTTTTAGCATATAATGCGTGTCTGTTTATCATTAAGTGCTTTCACGAAATACATTTTTGAATTCTTGACAGATGATTAACTGCTGATACATTGGATGGAGTCAGAATGTTGAACTATCTGGCCATTCATGATATTTAATTGGAATACAGAGAAGCCGTTGTTGCTTGAACGCGCCGCACCTACCCCGATAATGCAATTCGTCGCCGATAGTTGTAGAATTAGGATTGTGGGCAAAAATCCATTTTGCCTACAATATTGCTTATATACTGTTACACATTTCCTTCAAAATTAAAACTGACACGAAAAGCATTAGCAGACCAAAGAGAGGATCAAAGAATATTATATTTCCGATGTGTCCTGAACGCCTATATATTTTTTAGCCTTTTTTCGCGCGACAAAATTGACTAAAAAATAGAAGAACACACATGTTATTGTTTTCCACAGGAAACAAATATAGCTAACTGCAAAATTAACGCGATGCATTTCAACATCAAAGAAGGCAAAAAAGTCTCGGTGTAGAGGTAGACTTTCCTGTAACATTAAGGATTAAGAAAAGAATGACAAACATCGTTTTTAAAATCTTTTAGAGCGCGATGTAACGGCACACGTGCAGTTCTGCCACTGTTGACCTTGAATGTACAAGTACTAATAGTTTGTGTCACGGTTTAGTATACGGTTAAAGCGAATTTCAGTCCAAAAATACATCGGACATGTAAAGAAAATATTAGTTGAAATATTCTTACAAAATGCCAAGTGCGCTCAATCGCGAATACTTTATCCAATGTTTTTAGACCATTTTGTTCAGAATGATGGTTCAGTATTCAGTAAAGATTTAACACAAGGACATATACCTAATGTTATTTACGATTGTGTCTATTTTCAAGGACAACAAACTTTATGATGAGACGTGCGCCAAACGCGACAACACCGATTTGTTTTCATCCTAGTACAAACATTGCAAAGAAGCGTAGAGAAAGTAGCAACTCACCATCAATATGAGTCCCACGGCGAAAAACAATTGGCAAAGTTGTATCATGGTTAGCCAGGGAATGTCCTGTATCCGTACATTCACACGGTGCTGGGGAGAAGTAGACAAGCTGTAAGTGCCGGTAATTTAGATATACTTGGCCATGCTACCTCAAGAACACAAAACACGCTTGGGGGTTACCGTACACATGGGTTGCGTTTTGGAGATGTGTTCACGTGTTCGTGGTAGGCCTATGCTTGCATCTCACTGCAAGTAGCTCGTGCTGTATAGGAGACCCACGTCAATTAAACGGAGCGTTGTTGACGCTCATTCGTTGTAGTATACATTTCGTTTAGTTCGAATGAGTGAATGGGTTGAGATTAAAGATACCACTTTGGGATTCGAACTCACGACCAGTGCAACAACGAGTTACGCCGTATTGGTTCACAGGGCGACGCGTGTCGCCTTCTGTAATTCAAGTATAATTTAGTGTTATGATACCAGCATATCGTGTATATATCTCAGTGCAGTGGTTTATGGGAGAATCTATGATGTATTTAACGCCAAAATTTACTGATGAGATTCACAGCTGTGCAGTTATATTTGAATGTCCGGTTTCAACACGAAGTACCATACTACGAACTGTTATGCCCTTTATACGATTTCATCCCCAACAAAGACAATATGTTAACATGGGATTTTGGAACTTTGACAAAAGACGTTCTTTCCTGTTGTCTTGCTAACACATTTAAGGCAAGAATAACCTTTTGCTGATCGTATTGTCTAACCGTTCCCAGACTTCCATCTCCAAAACGCAGGATTGAATATAAACTTAATTCATACGACGCATGCGCCTCGGAATTGATAGATATATGAAAGCTATCGCGAGAGACAGTTTATTAATAGCATCAATCTCGCTGAAAAACACAAAGCTGTCCCCTAATCTTAACCCAGTCGGACTGAGGCGAATACACTCTACAGGCTTCATGGAGTTAACCGGGAGAGTGTTTGTCCAACCGAATGTGCACTGAGCTAAGGAAGTGTTTGTTATCGATGTTATTTCACGCGTTACGGACGGGTTTTAGTGAAGTCCCATCGCTTGGTTGACTGATAGATACAGAAGTGTTTGTAGATAAATGTGTATAAGGTCTGCAGAGAGCGTCCATTAGGCTTCTCACATTCCCTGTGATCTCCCCATGTGTTTTACTATGAAACGACACTGAGAATTGAAAGCACATTTCCGGCTATTTGATCAGAGGCGTTAAATTGCAAATTTACAACAAAAAAACTACTAATGGTTCTGGTCGAAGGTCAATGTACATGTAAGTGCGGAATATAAAGCTTTCGTGTGTCGGAGGGATCATAGACGGTCATCTCTCCGGCCCTCAGGTAAGCCGAAGTCTATTCTCATCTCTTTAACCTGACGGCTATATCATCTCTATAACCCGTAGGCTATTGTCATCTCAATAATTCGAAGGCCATTCTCATCCCTATTTAACCCGTAGTCTATTCTCATCTCCATAAACGGTAGGCTAATGTAATCACTATGACCCGAAGGCTATTCTCATCTAAGTAACCCGAAGGCTATTCTCACCTTTGTAACCCGAAGGCTGTTCTCATCTCTATAACCCGAAGGCTATTCTAATCTATGTAACCCGAAGGCTATCGTCACCTCTATAACCCGAAGGCTATCACCATCTCTATAACCCGAAGGCTATTCTCATATAACCCGTTAGCTCATGTCATCTCTATAACCCGTATGTTATTCCCATCTCTATAACTCGTAGACTGTTCTCATATCTATGAACCTCAGGCGATTCTCATCTCTATAACCCGTATGTTATTCTCATCTCTATAACCAGCAAGCTATTTTCATCTCGATAGCCCGCGGGATACTTCTATCTCTAAAGTCTCGGACTTATCTTTATTGAAACACTGTTTACTGATCTTTTAAACATGGATCACCCTTCACGCTTCAGACTCTATAGGTCATGTTTAATAGGTTATCATTCGATTCTGTTTGTCTTCTCTATGTATTATTCTTCCTTTTGAATCGCTCCACGTGATATCAGTGAGAAGAGACAAAGTTATGTTCACTTCCTGGGGAGTTTTGGGGTCAAGACAAATTGATGTGTTTATAATTACTTGTATTGTGCTTGGGCTTGTTTGTAAAGGCAGGACAGAAGATATAGAGGATATTTCATGTGTCGAGAGAAATATCATGTTTCTCTCATCTGGTGACGGGGGAAAGCAACTCGTGCAAGTATCTGCTTTCCCCCGTCACGAGATGAGAGAAACATGATATTTCACTCGACACATGGAATATCCTATTCATTGTATACTTTTTGTGTAGCTGTCTGCCGGAAAATGAATTGTTTTCATTACAAATATAAAACCTTGAAACGTAAATTCTCCCTACCTAATACACAGTAACGTTTCTCCACCCCTTGTAATAGAGGCCTAAAAAGTAGTTCCGAGTTTAAAAAATATAAACAAAAAATATTTGAGGCCACTATAATTCTTTATCATACATTTAGATATGATTATATACGATCGACGTAAAAAGATATATTGTTGAAATCAACGAGACCGCCGTTGGAAGGCGAGGGTCAAGTAACAACAATGGCGCTTTGCGAAACGAACAGTCTCGATTGACGAATAAAATGAGACATTTACAGTTTATAACAAAAAAAATCAAGAAAATAACAAACTGTAAGAAGCGATATTAACTCCATATATGACCATCTATCATTTTTTGCTTTGTCAATGTGGAAGTTACGTAAAAAACTATTAAGGAAATCAACAGTTTGTGTACGTGTACGAGACAATTTGCGGGGAGGTAGCTCTTGTATGACAATAGTTCCGTCAAAGTTTTATGTTCACTGCAGTGAAATACTAGTATCAAATGTTATGTTCACTGCTGTAACATATCAAGTGTCATGTTCACTGCAATTAAAATATCACTTTTCTCAATTTCAGAAAACTCTGTCTTTCACACTGAAGTATGTAATAAGTACGCATCATTTAACACGACTGTAGTTTGAAAGATGTTTCCCTGAGGAGTTCCAAGAGCAAACAAAATGAAGAAGGATTTCCACAGTAGAATCAATCTTATTAACCGCCCTATTCAGCAGTACTGACAAATCAGTGGTTGATATGAGCATCGTCTCGCGCATTAGGGTTACGCGCATTATCGCAGAGCCTCTTCCGACAAGAAGCGGTTACCTAATTGGGACCAGTCCTTTACCGGGATTCCGGAATCCCAAGGAACAAGGACAGTCGAGAACTTTGACAGGAGCTCGTTCAACAAGGATATATTATGACTGTTGTGAATCTACATTAAGAATGGCACCGAGTTCAAAGAATGGCCCAACTGGTCTTCAATATGCTGTGCGCAAATGGTTCCCTTAGTCGTGTTAGGCACTGATCATGGTGGGTTCGAATCCTATACTCGCCCCATACCCGTGCTCTTGGAATCACCGAAGTGGTAAACGTATACGACCTGCATCACCTTTGGCTCCTTACTGCGACAGTCTGTAAATAATCGAGTCCAGACCAGACAATCCAGTGATTGGCGTCATGAGCATCGATCCACCTAAGTTTGATACGATGACATGCATCAACCAAGTCAACTAGCCTGACAACCCGGTCCCGTTAGTCGCCTTTTACGACAAGCATAGTCGCCTTTTAGGACAAGCATGGGTTGCTGAAGATCTATTTTACCTTTGATCTTCACGGGTCATAGGCCAAGTGTATGTGTGGTGTTCACATCTATGTCATAATGGCTTTCACTGGATTGTCAGATCCAGACTCGATTATTTGCAGACCGCCGCCATATGGCTGGAATATTGCTGAGTACGGCGTTAAACAACAAAAAAACAAACAAGCTAAATGCAAGATGGTCGTGGGTGCCAAACGATACAAATGCACTGCAGTGTTTGGCGTTGATGGCAAATCTTCCGTGGTAATCGGAACAGCATTGACACATATATGCATCCTTGTGAGTAACTTAGGGAGTAAAGGTGTAAAGGTGGGCGTTGCGTGGCTCCTCATTAGTGGTTATCGGCCAATACACAGCAATTAGCTCCATTTGCTGCAGAGTCATGGGTCTTATACCGTCACACACAAGACATTCCAATTACCACGGTGTCGAGCTGTCGTCCTGGCGTCTCAGCGGGCGCCCAACTCTTCAGTGTCCGCTTGTGATACATTAAGCTGTCAATGCCACGTTACAAACGTGTAACACAAAAACACAGTGTACGTTAATGGACAGTTAAAATGTTGTTCCACAGTGAACCTATTTCATCGGACGGTACCCTTCTGTCGATTTGTCCAGATCCATAAAAGTAGTAGGAGTTGTGGTGGCAGTAGTAGTAGTGGCAGTAGTATATGTAGTAGTGGTAGTAGTATATGTAGTAGTAGTTATAGTAGTAATAGTAGTAGTGATGGTAGGGGTGGTGGTGGTTGTAGTAGTTGTAGTAGTAGTAGTAGTAGTAGCAGTAGTAGTGGTAGTGGTCGTAGATTTTTTTGTTTGTTTATTTGTTTGTTGTTTAACGCCGCACTCAGCAATATTCACGCTATATGATGGCGGTCTGTAAATAATCGAGTCTAGACCAGACAATCAAGTGATTGACACCATGAGCATCGATCCACGCAATTGGGATACGATGACATGCATCAACCAAGTCAGCGAGCCTGTTACTCGCCTCTTACGACAAGCATAGTCGCCTTTCAGGGCAAGATTGAGTTGCTGAAGACCTATTCTACCCCGGACCTTCACGGGTCGGTAGTTGTAGTGCTAGTTGTAGTAGTAGTAGTAGTAGAAGCAGTAGCAGTAGCAGCAGTAGTAGTAGTAGTAGTAGTAGTAGTAGTAGTAGTAGTAGTTGGTTTTAGGGTGCACTTGGGCCTTAATGAGGCGTATTGGCTCCCAACACATCATGGCTTTATAGCGCAGAACAAAGCGGTGATATAGATTGAGGGGAGAAGAACCTATACGTCTTTGTTATGATCATATTGAACATATCTTAAGTTTGCGATATTAAATCCCATAAATGAACTGTACAGGCGATTAGTCAACATTCAACGAATATTTCTACATGGTAATAAGTTAAAAATATATAATTTCATTTAAAACTTCTAAAGTTTTAACAAACTTTCTTCTACATAATACACAACTACTGATAGGTATCTTAGACATCGTATCTTTCAAAACCAATAAAGTTTCTATTTTCGGTACAAATTACCAACATTTGGTAGTGGGTTTTGT